TCTTCTCCCTCCCCCCAAAAGTGCGACTTCTGAAGCCACTCCTGCATGCCCCCCCTCCCCCCAAAAAATAGCTCCCACCCCCGGCTTCCCTGTGCTTACCGGGTGGAGCTGCAGGGTTTTAAAAATGGCACCCAAAATGGCGGCCGTCTTAAAGGGACAGCCTCCTTTTAAAACAAAATAATTTTTTTTGCTTCACAATTCTGTTCTGTGGGGCTTTTTTTTTTTTTTTTTTTTTTTTTTTTTTTTTTTGCTTAAACTTTTTTTTTTCCACAACAGAATTTTATCCTGGTGTGGTTTTTTTGGGGAGTGGGAGGTGGGGAGGGTGTTTGGTATGTTTTATTAAACCATCTGGCAACCGTAATTGACACAGAGCTCTTCCACTTTTTTGTGTAAAGCTCTGTGGATAGCTATTTCAGATTTAAAAATGTGCTTCACACGGGACAAGAGCTACAAAAACCCAAAGTGAAGTTGTGCTTCATGAAGTACAAGTACCTCCAGAAAGCCTTTCCTGTTTATGCACAAAGGAAATCTTGTCAAGTCTATTTAGATTGGCAACTCAGTCAAGTTACTGTTTTCTAGATCATGTCTTAAACCTTTATTGTATAAATACTGAGTGTTCAATGGGAGAGGATGTGTGATGGATTGAATGGGATGTGTGCTTGCCCTTTGTGGCATTTTTTTATTACAATAAAATTCCATTTAGTAACAAATGGAAGGAAGGGAAAGATTTTGTGTTTATTTGTTTTGGGGTTTTTTAAAACAATTCTTTCTGAATAGCTGACTCTATAGATAAATACAAAACAATACAACTAGCTGGATCAGTTTTGCAACTTTTGTGTTGAAAAAAACCATCGTAAATTGATATCACAGCCTAATGTGTGTGGGTTTATGCAGAAGGCCTGAATTCTGTTTCCTTTCCTGAGGTGAAATCTTGAACCATTGAAGTCAATGGCAAGACTCTGCTTCAGTGGGACTAGCCAGGATTTCACCCATAATCTCTTGTCCCTGCTGTCCAGTGAAATACAATTCATTCAGCTATCTGAGAGAAAATGAAAACTTCATTTTACTCAACATAAACCCCTGTGTTCACTAAGAAGTTGTGCTGATTCAAGGCCTTCAATGTGAGAAGAGTAGAAAAATGGAGAGCTCTCTGAGGGTGGAGAGAACACATGAGGGGCTGAAAATGTTGGTGGATTTGGAGAGAAATGCATATTGACTCTATATTAGAAGAGATTATTTCCCAGATGAAACCATTGTGAAAACCCAACAGTGGAATCTTTTCACTGACAATAATGTTTTATTAACCTTGACAAATTATTTCCTTACAAGTAGGTTGTGGGGAGTAGATTTTTATAGGCTAATAAAGTAGTAATTGTTTTTTTCAGTTATTATCAATCAGCATTACTGTTTGTTACTATAGTGCCTCAGGTGCTAATTGAGATCAGGACCCCATTGTGCTAGGCACTTTTGAACACACTGAGGGTATGTCTACACTGCTAAGTTATTTTGGTATAGTGGAAGTATCCCAAAATAGCTATTCCACGTCTTTTGAAGCAACCCGTTATTTCAAAATAGATTTTGAAATAACAGGTAGCTCATTCCGATATCCTGGTAACCCTTGTTCCTTGAGGGTTAAGGGGCATTTCAAAATAGCAAGTTTTTTCAAAATTTGGTGCTGTCGACAGCGCCAAATTACTAAATAAGCGAGTTCAAAATACACTCAAAATAAGCTATGCAAGTTGCGTAGCTTATTTCAAGCAAAGGGTGCTGTGTAGATGCACCCTTTGACATTGCCCGCCCTAAAGAGTTCATGGACTAAAGACAGTAGAACAAAAGGCAGGAGTGGAAAGAGGTGGAGTAACTTGCCCAAAATCACACAACAAGTCAGCGTGACAGTAGGCAGAGCCAGAAATAGAATCTAGGTAGGTCTCCCTACTCCTGCAGCAGTGTCCTATCTACTATAGCATGCTGCCTTTAATGGTAAAAGCAGTGTTTTGCTTTTACTTAAAGGCTAGGTTTTGTATATCAGTTTTAAAAATTGCAGCTGTTACCAGTTGGTTGAAATGTCCATACAATAAACTAGCATGAAAAAAGAAATCCCCAGAGACTAAGGGATTAAAAGGGAGCTCTTTATTTTAAAGGTGCCTAACACATTGTATATTGCTCACTTGGTGAGATTAGGATAGTTGAAACAAATACAGTGTCTGGTAAATAAACTCATTTCTTCATCAGGAGATTCTGTAGTAACAAGTGACTTAGCTTTAAACTCCTGCTCAGCTTCAAATTCTCACTCCCCTCTGTGTCTCAGAGTAAAAAATGACATTGTTCTACTAACTAAACCGACAGTTTTGCATTTCTAGCTCAGATGTAATTAGTATTGATTCCAGACTCTTTCTGGTCCTATGACCCTTGTTAGTGTACTTTTCCTCTGACAAAAGCAAGTCAATACCTTCAGCCCATGTTTTAAAATGTATTTTAATATACCTTTATTGGAGTTTGGAAGATTTTTAATCTGAGTGAGTCTAAGATTGCAGTTTCAGGCTCCTGAGTTAGGCCCACAATACTTGGGAAGACTCTGTGTGAAGTCAGCATCAATGTTCAAATAGGAATTTTTAAAAGAAATACTTGTTCCTAGACATAGCAGATCCCTTGTCCCTAGCAAACGATAAGTCACCGGCAACTTGTACTTATAGGTGCTCTATTTAGGGCTCAAAGAAGCAGCTATTCCAGAAAGGGAGTGACCACAAAAGAGAGATCTGGTCTATGATCTTGAGGTTGTATAAGTGGGTAAGAAATCTAGAGCTGAGTATTTGGTGCTGATCAGGTTTTCTGCAACCAAGAGAAAGTTGTTCCTGGAGAAGGAACTCTGACTGACTTACCTGCCATTTTTGTTGTATTGAATCGCTCTACCAATTTAGTTCCTTTACAGGAGCTCTTGGTTGCCATCTTGAAATTTCTCCTTTGAGTTTTTGAGTTAGGCTGTTCTTTACAAGAAGATCAATGCTCTGGCAATCAATTTTCTGGCATTTGATTTAGCAGCTCTAGTGAAGACCCGCTAAATCGAATGCTTAGGATGCCCCCATCCACACCGATATTCCTATTCCTCACAAGGAGTAAGGGAAGTTATGGGAGCATTTCTCCCATTAACCTCCTTTTCTGAGGATGATGCCAAAGCTCGGTTTAAGGTACGTTGACTCCAGATACAATTTTTTGCATACCGTAAGTTGACCATCTCCTGTAGTGTGGACCTGGCTTTATGCTAAACATTATTGTGCCCACAATATCTGTAAATATGCTCTAGTTCCCCAAGTTGCTGTTCTGGGAGGGCACTGGTTCTAGTATAACTGATAGCACATTTTTCTTTCTGATATGTGAAGTGAAAAAATTTAAAGTTAATTGTTTTTTGCCCCATATTTTGCTACATAGGCATACCATAATCAGTATTAATGAAGCAGAAAGGCAGGGTGAAATTCTTTGGGACACCAGTTTAAACAACCCTTTTAAGTGAGGATAGGGTTGCTAGGTGTCCGGTATTCACCCCAACAGTCCGGTATTTTCACTCCTGCCCAATAAAAAAAATTCAGAGAATACTGGACACCTGAGATGTCCTATTCCTATTCTCTGAATTTTTCCCCGGCCAGGAGGCGAAAATGTTGGGCACCTGGCAACCCTACAAACACTCAGCGCCTGGCCTCCCTCTTCCCCCCCCCCTCCCCCCGGACCCTCAACACCCAGCCCTCCACCTCCCGCCCCCATGCTTACCTGGTTCCCCAAGGCTGCCGGCACAAAATGGCTGCTGGCCAAAAGACCAAGGAGAAGAACTTTTTTTTTTCCCCTTCTCAACAGCTTTGGTCTTCCCCCCCCGCTTTTTGGGCCTTGGCTGCTATTTTTGTCAGTGCTGCAACACATTGAAATACCATCAGAACTGAACAAAGGAATAAATTTGCTGAAAAAAATTGCTGACATTTAAGGAGACTTCCCTGTTCTTCTCTCTCATGAAAAATTGAGGGGTAAATAGTCAAATAAATCTTTGTACAAATAGCCGGAAATCAAATGAAGAACAGCAGTGATGCATCTCCACAAAAATCTTCCTGTGACTTCTTTCTGATTTCCTGGATTGGCCTTTTTGAATGGAAAATTCAGTTGGTATTTTGAACACTACAGTGAGTTTCTCTCCCTCTGCATTTATTTTACCTTAGAAGATCACCACAAGCAGGATATGTGGTATGATGGCAAGCTCTATCCTTTAGGACAAGGATAACCAAAACTAGCCATTTAGGGACTTGATTTGATCTCTGTGGGGGAGGCAGGATAATTGGGTTGGAAATTGAGGGAATACTCCCCTTTCCTGCGATTTTCTGGGTTTGGACTGAACAACAACCTGTGCTGAAGTAGTTCTGGTTACACATTTTGACAGTCTGAGGCCAATAGGGCCATCAGACAGTGTGTCCTAGTGGATAGAGTACTGGAGTGAGAGTCAGGAGGTCTGGTTTCTATTCCTAGTTCTGCCACTGATCTGTTGTATAACTGGGTAAGTCAGTGCTTCTCCCTGTACCTCAGTTTTTCCATCTGTAAAATGAGAATAATGATATTGATTGTGTATGTAAAGCACTTTGGGAGCTACTCCTGAAAAATGCTGCATAAAAGCTTGGTATTATTTATTGTCTGTGATGCTGAGAATGTGATATGAGATTTTACCACTATGCACAAGCAGTAAGAATGACTGAAGTACAATGGGATGTTTGCTAGAACATGGTGCTCACACATCCTACATGAACAACTCAAACTCATTTATAAAAAGGTGGGTTGTTCTAATATGGAGCACACAACTTCGAGGTTTCTAGCACTCTCTCTCAATGCATGTCGACTCTCTGGAGAGGACATACAAATGTGCAGCAGCTCTCAAGATATATTACCTGAACAATGTTAACCATTTACATCTTGGACTGCATTGTTTTTTTTCACAGCTACTAACATGCCCCTTTATTTTGTTTTTTAAGACACCCTGGCTCTGGAACACAAGACAGTGCTGGAATGGATACCCGTATCAGGTAAGCCATCCTGTTATAGAAAGAGAAATACACAACCTCAGTGAGACGTTGTTTTTACTATGCAAACCCTAGATGTTTTATGCAAATATTGATTAGCTTTATAAGCCTACCAAACAAACACTATTTTGGTCCCCCTATTAGCTTAGTCATGGAGGAGCAACATGCACAGAAAGAAATATCCATCCCACCTAGTGAGATCAGAGCATCAGTAGAAACTGAGAGAATGACAGCATGTCTCTGAGTCAGAAATCTCCCCTGACCCTGCATGAAATGTATGCATAGCCATAGGAGATACCTCCTTGTGTCCATAGTGTAGGAAACCCACCCTTGAAAACACTCTATGCTCGTGAGTCCAGAGCTCACATTCCAGCCTAAGTTGAACACAGCAGTTTTACAGCCCCGCAGCCCAAGCCCCATGACCTCTAGTCAGCTGACCAGGACCAGCGATTGGTGTTGAATTGTTATGTAGGTGTTCTCTGAGAACTAATAATACTTACTTACTATGCAGAGGTGTGGCAAGCATCAGTTAATCAATAGCTATTACATTTTCAATAATATTGTTTATTAGAGAGTTCATTAGAGAAAATGGTTGTCATGCATATGTGATTAGGAATTGGCATTGGCTTGGCAGCCATTTGGGAAAGTTCAACTTCATGGATATGTATTTTTATACAATACCAGTTTGCATTTATGTCATCACTAAAGTATCACACTTACAAGATTGGAGAAGAATGTAAATAAGCATCAAGCCGCAATTTGAGAACCCTGGGTATTTAACAGCTGGTTTTGAGTGAGAGCAAAATTATGTTTGGAGCTAACTGCCAATTTCAGAGCACCCCTTTTTCCTATGCCTCATCTGTATTCTTTTAAATATAAACCCATTGCCATGGTGTATTAAACATCACAGATATCACCTAACAATGTGGCTTTGAAGAGTCACAGTAACTTGTGGTTGTGACTTTGTTTTTCAGCATTTCTATCCATGGAAATTCCAAATTGTCAGAGAGCCTCTGAAATGTTCACCTCTTTAGCCCCAAATGTTTTTCATTTTCACGTGTATAATAGCAGTACTCAATCTCCAGCAAGGATCCAGGGCCCATTGTTCTAGACATTATGCAAACCCATATGTAAGTTTGGTAACGTATTTAAAAAATAAGTATTCCCATCCCACTCCCATCCTCAATATTTTATTTGTTTGTTTGTTATTCTCTTAAGCAGTATATGCATACTTTGCTGGGGTATTTGTTGCTCCTCTTTACAGCTCTCAGCAACTCCAAATCTTGTTGCACAGGGATGAAAATATTAAGCATGTCCCTTGTAACAAGAGATCCTACCCATAAGTAGCAATGACTAAGAGAAACAAAATTTTAAAAAGAGTTTACAATCTGAGAAGTCTAAAATGTGTAGACGTATATGTAAACAGTATATTGTATACCGAAGAAAATCTGCTTCTGAAGAAAGAAATCAGTGTGATTGGTTAATGAAAATAAATATTTGCTAAGCTTATGATCAGGACAAAGAGGTCACACTTTGTTAATGAGAATATATGTTGCACCTTTTCAATACTAGCAACTAAATATGAGATCTATATAGACAAGCTGCAGACAAAGAGAAGGCTCAGTGCCAGAGAATGAGTTTTGATAGCAAATCACAAATAAAAACAGTCATTGTGGCAGAGAAAAAAGACTGTTGGGCTCAAATCAAGGCTAAGTGTTTGGGGAGGAGGAAGGGCTTTGTTTATTTGTTTTTTAAAAGGATAAAAGTTCTAATCATGATGCCGACTTACATGAATTATTCAACATGGCATTCCAGAAATCCAACACAACTTTATATAGACATAGAGAAGTGGGTGATTCTGCATTCACTTGATGGGCTAAAACCCAAATCCTTACTTTACGCACTGTAAGTCCTATTGAAGTTAAGGATTGGGAACTAACAATGCAATGATCAAGTTCTCTGGTTTTGTTGTGCATTTGTTACAAGATGAAAATTGGTACATCCTTATAGTGTGGGGCTTGATTTATTTTGATTCATGGATTTAGAAACTCTAATCAAGAGAACAAACAACAATCCTAAAAATTCTTCTAATACATATTTTTCTTGTGAATTCTTTGGGGTTTTAAAATTTAATTTCAGATTCCTTTTTAGTTCATATAGTCGTACAAAGTTGAAAAAACTGAGGCTAATCCATACCCTTACTGGCAATGTCTACAGAGCAGATAAGGACTAAATGGGACAGAGAGATGAACTACATGGTTCCACTTATGGGGTGCTCCTTCATTGGTGGGCAAAGTGAGGAGAGCTTACAATCCAGTTCTCTATGCCTTTGGATTCTAGGGTTATCAACCAGATGACTTTTACAAGCCTTACATTAAAAACTACGCAATTTTTAAAAAAAGTTTGAAAAGAGTCTAAAAATGGTAAGCAGACTTGGTGATGGCAATAATTAAGTTTTTGCATTATCTACATGACTGACACAGTTGTTTTTTTAAATGACAGAAAATCAGCAAATTTAAGCACTTTTTAACAAGTGTATTGTATTTTACAATCAGAAAAGCAGGACATTGGGGCTACGTCTACATTACGCATTCTTGCACAAGAAGATATGGAAATGAGGCATGGCGATGAATATTGCTGCACCTCATTAGCATACCTAATGAGCTGCCATTTTGCGCAAGGGTCTTTTGCACAAGAAGGAGCAGTTGACGGCTCCTTCCTGCGCAAAACCCCCCTCTTGTGCAAGAGCCATTCTGCCTGAAAATAAGCGGCAGAACTCTCTTGCGCAAGAGGGGATTTTTGCACAAGAAGGAGCAGTGTAGACTGCTCCTTCTTGCGCAAAAGACCCTTGCGCAAAATGGCAGCTCATTAGGTATGCTAATGAGGTGCAGCAATATTCATCGCCATGCCTCATTTCCATACACTTTTGGTGGCACCTTAAAGACTAGCACGTAGCCCAACAGGGCACCTAACAAGGGTTTTCTAAATACAAAGAAATACATGAAAATTAAGATTTTTTTAAAAAAAGAAATCCATTTGCATTATAGAATGGAAATGATGATCAATGCTACACGTGTTGGGCAGATTTTTCCCTGCGGTGCAGTAACTATAGCTGGTCTAAACTTGGTGGCGCCACTGAACAGAGGGTGAGGTGTACGGGATGGGGAGGAATCTTTGGGGAGCCACCAAGTTTAAAGCAGCCATAGTTACTGTAGTGCAGGGCAAAATCTGCCCTATGTGTGTTGTGTTGATTATCATTTCCATTCTATAATGCAATGGATTTCTCCTTTTAAAATATTTGTTTTCATTTATTTCTTTGTATTTAGAAAACCCTGCCAGAATCCTACCTGTTATTGATATAAGTGATGTGATGAGGAGGAAATGGGCCTGTCTGAGTGTAAATTAAGATAGCTCCCAAGCTGCTCTAATTTATGTCTGCGACCAGACTTTAAAATATCTTTCACCTCTTCACTTTTGCCCTTCTCATCTGTGTCAAACACTACTTGGCTGCAGGTACAGGCAGATTACAGGCCCTTCATTTTTCTGAGTTGTAGACCAAAGGATTCTGAATATATTTAATCTCTGCAAATTGTTTCCTCTTCTCCAAATGAATGATTCATTTTAGACACCTCAAAATAGATTATATTAAAAAGATTGATATACCTTTCATCATGGTGATAACTTTCATTAAAGCATTATTTTAATGTCCTCCTGGATGCCAACACACAGAGGTAAGTCTGTTTACTAGAGCCATTTTGTCCCAATTCACTGTGCCTCTGCACCTTTTAGTGTGCTCTAACTTGGATGCAGCTGATTCGAAAACCATCAGGAGACAATTGTGTAATCAAACTTTCCTTTGATGCATATAAGAGAAGTGCAGGAGTTCAAAACTGACCAGAAATTTTTCTGCCCTAGGCATCTAAAGAATTAGGGCCTGGTTTGTTGGCACGGAAGGAAAAGAGTATAACTCGGTTGTCAGGTTATCTAAACATAAAAAAGGAGAAGTGTAAGTAAGAGATCGGAAGGGACTTCATCTCACAGAGCTGTCAGTACTTGAAACATGCACCTGTCAGAACTGTCCCACGTACGAAGGTTACCTGCAATTTTCCCTCTTTTTGTGCAGTTTACATGATTATAAAGTGACTTACTTTCTCACTCTTTTTAAATCTTCTTCTTTCAGTCACTGATACCTGAGCTTCATTACTACTACATAGTCGAGCTATCATTCTACTGGTCTTTAATGTTTTCTCAGTTCACTGACATCAAAAGAAAGGTAAGAACAATCAGTGTAAAAACTTCTCAGAGGCTGTAAACATCCCTGTGCGTGCATGCGCGCGCGCACACACACACACTTTCATTGACTTTTGGGTAGCATACAACCCTGTCACTATGCACTGTACTATATACCATGTTATTTCCGCTTGTAAGCTATTGTAGATGTTCACTGTTGTGATCCTGATGTTAAAATGGGCACATCATTCTGTTCTTGGGCAGTGGGATGTACCATTTTCTGTCCCTTGTTGAAGCAGCCCACAGTAATTTAATATTCAGTAACAAATAGCCACAATGTCAGTTGGTAGTCTGCTATTCTCACATCAGGGATCATGATATCTCTTGATGAACAACAAACTGAGCTGTACTCACTAGATATGACATGCTAAGAGCATCACTGTCAGAGCTAGATGCTCTATGCATTTACTAGACCATCTGGGGTAAGATTAATGAGAATTTTGAGTCCATTTCCCAGTAAAGATATGTTGGATGCATATAAGTAAATTATACTAAATTAATGTTACTGGATCAATCTTTCCTTTACACATTAAAAACCTCAAAAAGCTACTTATCTTTTGTATATAGCTATAACTAAATATACCTTTTATTTTGGAAACAAAACCCACTATCTTTTTGTGTGTGTAATTGAGGAAAAATGAATTTTTTAAGTTAGAAAACTGCATAGACTGTAAAAACAATGAGCAGTCCTGTGGCACCTTAAAGACTAGCAAATGTATTTGGGCATAAGCTCTCATGAGCTGGAACCCACTTTGTTGGATGCATGTAATTTTCATGCATTTGACCAAGTGTTTTCCAGCCCATGAAAGCTTATGCCCAAATAAATTTGTTAGATTTTAAGCTGTCACAGGACTCCTCATTGTTTTGCAGAAACACACTAACATGGCTACCCTTCTGATACCTGTATAGGCTATGAAATAAATCCATTCCCAAAGTGTCCATCTTTAAGTCATCATCTGGGAGCTTGCCTGTTATATAAAACAAATGGTCTTTAACTAGAAAACAGTAACCTTGCACAACCACACTGTCTGTGCTGGCAGTTCATATGTGAATGTTATTGAACAGTGCCAGTAGCAGCCTGCTCTATTTTCCCTTCTTCCTCCTTCAATACTTGCTGCCTGTTGCACAATAATCATCCATAACAAAACCAAAAAGAACAACAGCAATAAAAACCCTGTACTGTATTACTGTAATGGTCTAAAACCCTAGGTTAATGCTGTGATTTGGATATTTGTAATGTGTTAAAATTGTATACGGTAGAATGTATTTTTGTTTCTTTAAAAAGTAAGGAAATTACATTTTAAAAAACTGTTAAAAGAATTTCATTGAGGTTGCAAAGTCAGTCACTGAAAAGCAAGGAAATGTCCATACTAAGGTTGCCCATTCCTCCTTTCAAAAGAAAAATCCTTGCTTAACTGTAAAGTTAATACTAACAAGACCATATATCTTGGAAAAGAAGTGTAGAATTAAGAATATCCTCAAGAAAATGAATCCTCTCTCTGGACCCATAGTGTATTGCTGGGAATCCTGGTTTGTGTTTGTTTCAGCAAGGATACTACTCTAATTCCAGCATCTGCAAATTCTTTATCCAGAAGCAAAAGGCCCAAGAAAATGTCCAAGAATCTCAAATCTTTATTAGGTGATACAATGTAAATGGAGCAGCTGACACAGACATACAAGTCTGTTTGCACCAGGTGCCCAATCTACTGACAATTGCTACATACGTAGACATTTACTGGCTTGAAATCAATACAACTTTACTCTTCCCCAAAGCAGAGATGCAGAATAATGTGACTCAGCAGAGGGGCCAAACAACAGAGAATTCAATTGAAAACCTGTGCATTGCAAATTTTGCATTGCATTTTCTAAAGCTTTGTTCTGAGATGCTGTTCATAGTGTTACTTTTTGTGACTGCTGTTTTTATAAGCAGTAGCTAATGAATATTTGAAAATACAATCCACAAACCCATCATCTGGGTCTCAACCTCGTACACATTTAATGTTTGACTAGAAGGTACAGGAAGTTTGCCAAGAGTAAGGAACAGGAGCCAGCAGAATATGAACTATTCTTCAAATATGAAAACCAGTACCAAATCTCTGCTGCTAAGTTATACTATCATTCAGGTTACCTGCAGAAATGTGTCATTCTATCGAAGCAGTCTCACTGCATAAATTTAGCCTTATGTGATGCTTGTTCTATCTTTATTCTGCTTTCTCTGTGCACCTCTATGAAAGACGTGTCATAATTACAAAACAGTGGAATGCTGATATGGTTGCATTTTAAAATAGCTGCTGGCATCTTTGAGTGTAAATTAAGTGGGCTACACATGAGCCAGCTCCTGCTTACCCCTCCTCCTGCCTCTGTACTGCTGCCTCTGATACAGCAGAGCCACCTCTCCCCTTCCCGCTCCCCTGTGTGTAAACATGTACCCACTGAAAATGTCTGTGCATACTCATTTACAAAAATAAATGCATTTTAACATCTGTAGTAGCAATTTTACAAAATCTCTTGAATATATTTTGAGATAGGTTAACCTATCTCAAGATATACTTCTGTCACACTAGCAACACGCACATACGTAAACTTCACTCATTCAAAACTAATGAATGTCCATTGACAGCCATAGGCTTCTTAACAGATCTGTTTTTCCTATTTGTACCCTTTAGAAGTGGAGGCTGGGAAGCAGTACGGATGTGTAAAAATCATAGTTCTACTGCAGTCTTGGTAAACTGAAATCCCCTTCAGGTTAGAAAATCATAGTAATACAGCAGAAGTTTATGGAGCAAGCATGCCATTGTGAAATTATAAAACTTAATCAACCTTGTTCATTGCCTTAACAGAATGCTGATGCTATGTAGTGAACAAAATAGTTAGATTTTTGTCCATCTCTTTTTGGTCAGGCAAAGATAATCTGATGCAGTGGTGGGAAATTTATGCTAGTGAGTGGGCTGCATGAGTAGCCCTCCATCTCTGTGGTCTGAAAGACTGCTGTAACCACAATGGTCTCCCAGCATAGGCTAGTTTTGCTCACTGAGCTTGCATATCTAGAATTCACAAAGCATACCAATTTAACCATAGCAGTGCTTTGATTGGATGAAGAGTGCTCTTCATGTCACCTTGCCTTACATGTGTGTTACTTTAGTGATACCAGTAGGAAGAAAAACAAGACGGACAGAAACCAGCAGAATCTGTCAAATCTGCACATGGGCAACGATAAACAAAATGTCTCGTGGGCCACACCTAGAACCCCGGTGGGCTGCATGTTGCCCACCACTGATCTGATAGAATTTGTAATTTGCAAATAAAGACAAAGCAGGTATTTAAAAATTAGCACTCCCACAGAAAGTCATTTTCAAGTCATGGATTTGATATAGGAGAAGAAAAAAATAGAGATAGAAATAGTGAGCACACTGAAAGACCCGTGGTGGAGTGATGCCAGTGTAGAGCACCAACAGCAGTCATTGCAAGATGACAGACAAAATGAAAGTGGGCAGCTGAATTCCAGCAGGTAGTCAAAATGACAGAAATACTGCCAAAGCATTTTTAATCATAATGGCTGTGGTATTCAAAATTTCTTAGAGATCCAAACTTACATAAGGAATTAATTTTCTCACTGTTAAAAAAAATAGCAACAGATTTCTCAGGCTGAGAACTGGAAATCTGCCATCTATAAGTTTCCATTTGTATTCCAATAATGTCCTGTATTGGGTGGCAAACTTCCCATTCCTTTTAGCCAAACAGCAGCTTAATTAAATGTGTACTAGGTTGAGACACGGATGAGCTATTTCCTGTCTCCAGAAGAAGGCTTTAGAAAATGGCATTCAAAATTTGCAATGCACAGAATGTTTCCTACTGGCTTGTTTCTTAGTGACACTTTTTGATTCAGAGGTCAAACTGTTTCAGAAGATTTTACACATTGTAATATTTGATGATGGAATATTCAAACTGGTGAATTCATAACTAACCAATACTCAGATGGGCCATGTTTACACTAGGAGATCAGTGTGAATTTACTCAGTTTGACTTCTGGGCACCTGATTTTACAAATTCAAAGTTGCGTGTCCTCACTAAGGGGAAGTATCGAATGAGGTCTGAGGCAGGCTCCATTAACGTGGACATAGTACCTCAGACTCAGAGCCCCATGAAACACTCTGGGGAGCTGCAAGAGACCTTTTGGAAGCCAATAAGTTCAAATTAGTGGCACTGTAGCAGCCACTCGAACATTATTTCTGACTTACAAGTTTTGGAATAGCGTTATTCCTCATGTAAAGCAGGACTACGGAGTTTGAGTTCTGTGTCCCCTTATCCTGGAATAACTGGCTTGGTAGTGTGGATGCTTCGCTTACAAATTTGACCTTGGAAGGGCTAATTTCAGACTAAGATCCTAGTATAGACCTGGCCTTGATGATATTTCTTCCATATATGTGGATCAGCAGTGTATACATCACAACTCACACTACTGGTATGACCCCTCCCTGACCACTTCTATACCAATGTGACTCTATTAATTTCAGCAGATTAATATCAGGTTTACACCAGGGCATCCACATCTGTTTTGAGTTGCCATAGGAGTCTTTCGGGGGTTTGTCTGAGGGGTTGTCCCCGGATGTCCAGGCCTTTATGGCATGCACTCTTCCATAGAGAAGAATTTTAGGCAATTTGTATGGAGTCATTCTACCTACCTTGCCAAACCATTGTAGTTGGTGCCACTTAATGTTCGTAGTCATACATGGCACTTTCAGGAGGTCATCATGTCATAGTCTGTGTACCATTGTCTCGCTCAGGGTACAGCACCTAATTTCAAATGTGGCAGATTTTGCTCTTGATGTTTTGTCTATACATGTCTTTTGCAACCATAAAGTAATGTGGTACAATAAGTATTATATATAATGTGGTACTGGCTGTTATGGACACTGATTAAAGGTACCGCTGATGTAAGGTGTTTTTATTCGGACATATATCCATTCCACTGTCTTTCTGCTCATCAATGTCACCCTCCTAGGAGGAGTTGTGTGCTATGATGAACCCCAAGGAGCAGAAGCTGTCAGCTTGCTTAGTGTTCACACCAGTTTGCTCACTCATTTTGAAACCCCATTCACTGGCTCTCATGTACATGTTAATTTGCTGCTTCTTGGTTGTGTTCCTCCATAGGCACTATCATGACAATATGGTCTGCAAAGTCAAAGCAATTAATAATGTTCTCTGATGTCATACAGCCTCCAGCAATGTTACTAAGGGGTTGATCGAGAGGTTTCTAGGTATAAACAAAATAACACTGGATTAAGTATGGATCCCAGTCTGATCCAGTTTTCACTTCAAACTACTCTGTCAGTTCACCATTCATTCTTACTGTATAACAAGTTGTGCTATAAAGACTCCACAGTATTTGAATCAGCTTGCTGCTAAAACTGGACCTCTTCAGAACCTTCTATAGAACCTCTCTGTTAACAAAGTTGAATGCTTTCTTAAAGTCAACAAATGAGCATAAAAGGAATTTGTTGAACATTAAGCAGCCTTAATGTCAAGGTCCATAATTTGTTTGAAAAAAAAATCCATAGTTGAAACTTGTATCTCTTCTTTCCAAAATAATTATCAAATTACAATACACGTCTGCTTTTTAGCATTATTTTTCAGCTTCATGGAGGACTTACTAGTGATTTCCAGTTCTAGATAGTGTGACACCCAGAGCACTTGTGAATGTTTTCCAGTAGTGGGGAGTAATATCCTTAGTCTTGCATGGATGTATATCCACGTCCAAGCCACCATCCACAAAAATTATCTGTGGATACCCATAGATTTGCAGGGCTCTGCTGAGCAGTCCCCTGTCCTTGCCCCTCCTGGCCGCACCACGCCACAGTTCGTCACAACTGCACACCTGCTCTCATCAGAGTCTTGCGCGGATACAGAATTTGATTCTGTATCTGTGCTACTATCTGCGAATTTGCAGGGCTCTAGGTATCCTATCACTGTTAATGCTAGAGAGACTTCTCAAGCAATAATGTGCTGCAGATTTTTTAGATCATTTTGCATGTGCTATATGTGTTGTAAGGTTCAAACAAAATGCAAAGGGAAAATGTTTTGTCATATTTAAGGATGTTAGTGAATAGTCATTTAAATGATGAACCAATAAACCTGGGCTTATCAGTTAATCCAAACGACTACATGCACTCCCCCCCCCCCCCCCCCCCCCCCCCGCGCTTCTCCCCATAAGCATCAGATCCCGAGGGGCTGTCTCCCCTACTCCCTGCTTTACTGCCTCTGTAAAGGTAGCAGCACGGGGTGGAGAGAGGGAAACAGCAGCTGATACACACAGGGAGCCAACTTTTATGGTGGCTTTCTATGCATACTGGCTCCACACAGCCAATTGCCCTCCCTCTTGCTGCCTCCCACAGAGGCAGCAGGGAAGGGGCAGGCAGGAGCTGGTGCTCGGAGAGAGATGGTTTAAAAGCCAGCTCCCCAGGAGCATCAGTTTTGTGGAGATGCCTCTCTCCTCCCCTATGCTACTGCCTCAGCAGCTCAGGCCCCTCACAGATAGGGGCTGCTGCCACCTCTGCACAAAGGCAGCAGCACTGGACAGCAGACAGGAGCCAGTCTGCATGGGGAGATGTTTTTAAACCAGTTCCCCTCACAGACCTGCTCCCACCTGTCATCCCATGCTGCTACCTCTGATACAGAAGCTGCAGTGTGGAGTCAAAAGGGCTCCCCAGGAGTGGGACTGGGAGTGCACTGGCTGCTGGCCTCACCCCCGGGGACCATTTAATAATCGTGTAACTGCTAAAATATGGTGTGGTTACATGATTATTAAATTAAACAATATCAAACATCCCTAGTTGTATTTTACTGTTAACTTTCCTTGCTTTTGACAGTTAACTGAGGTCATAGTAATGCCTGGAATCTACATAAGGTAAATGCTAACACTGATGTCAATGATTCCATAGGAACCAACATTATGATTTTTTTTTTTTAGAGCAGGTGACAGGAATCGGTCTCCTTGGATTCTGTTTTTTTTTTTTTTTATGCTATGGGCCAGATACTCCCCTCTACTTCTTCTCTGTTGATTTATACCTGTGCTACGTGTGGGTGTAAGATCAATTTGTGCACCTAGAAATGATGGCACAAGATGCAAGGCTGTGAAAAAACATGACTTGTTGTTTGGAAAAATAAATAATTTTTGTATAATCAAAAGGGGAGAATCTTCCAAGCATGTGTTAAGCAGGCTGTCTCACCAGCCCATGCATCTCTCTCCCATCACACAATTTCAGTCCTTATCTTCAGGATCTTGCATTTATTTCCTCAAAATAAAACTTATTTAACACAAGTTCATAATTTTGGTCAGGTTCTTTTTCTCCATGATCTGGGATTGCCAGGTGTCCGGTTTTGAACCGGATAGTCCGGTATTTGAGCTTTCTGTCCAGAAAACAAATTGAGAAAATACCAGACATATAAATGTCCGGTATTTTCTAATTAAGTAAGTTTTATTGTTATCATGAGTATCAGTATGTAGTTGCGTGCTGTCTGGCTAGTAGACACACTCATGCTGCATGAGCATATCTACCAGCCAGGCAGTATGCAACTACACGGGGGAGAGGGGCGGGCCGGGCTGGGGAAGGATGGAATCCCTGGGGCTGCAGTCACCCATGAGCCCCATCAGGACTGTGTGCAGGACGTGCAGCACCCCAGGATCTGCGTATGCCTGGGCCAGCCCCACTTCCTGTCAGCCAGTTCCTTCCCCCTGCCAGCTCCGCCCCCATCCAGGCCAGCCCCACTCCCCACCAGCCAGTTCCCACCCGGCCAACCCCGCTTCCCCCAATCCTCTCCCGGCCAACCCTGCTTCCTGCTTTCCATTTCCTTCCCCTGATCTCCCCCGGCCAGCCCCGCTCCTCCCAACCCCCTCCCGGCCAGCCCCGCTCCCCTCCCAGCTAGTCCTGCTCCCCCATCTGAGATCAAGTGTGTCCGGTATTTTTTTCAAATCATCTGGTAACCCTACTGGGCTTCAGGATGGGGCCAAAAATTAGGGGCTTGTTGTGTTCTAGCTGTTTCCTTCCCCCAGTCTCCCCCAGCCAGCCCCACTCTCCTCCCAGCCAGTCCCCACCCCCTTCTGAGATCAAGTGTGTCCAGTATTTTTTTGAAAATCATCTGGTAACCCTACCAGGGGTCTTTTGAATGGGCTTATCTACTCCCCACAGCTTTTGCACTTCATAAGCCTTCAGCCTAGGAGTCAAAGTAAACCTTCCTTTTCTCCAATCTTCCCCTAGCATTCCCCTTGCTGGATTATCGTCCACGAACCACCTAACCGAGTTCTGTCCCCTTATCCCAGTAGAAGCCTCCCTGCATCTTACAGTTCTCATCAGCAGCTGAAATACTTGCTGGCTCTTAACAGGACTAGGTGATGTTCAAGCTATCACCTGATCTTTAGCGTCAGAGCATCAGCTGGTTCCTTTAAATGGCCACCTCATCCTGTGGTAGCATGTGAGATGAGGAAAAAAAAAAGTAGTTTAGAAACAGGATCCTTTATGTTAGGAGACCTGAAGACCTGTATCAGGGAACTGTCTATTAGAAGCCTTTAATACCACATAAATATGTATTTGTATTTCTGTATACCCTGAAGGTGTACTCAAAAGCTTGTAACAGTGTCTGAGCTGTTGCTCATAAGTGATTTGGGGCTGCATTGTTTTGCATGTTGTAAGCTGGCTAGGGCATAAGAAAAATGGTATAAAATTGACTTGTATGTACATATGCCTTTTATAAATAATTTTGACTAATAAAAGCTTTTACTTCCTTACATTTATTTATTATGAACTGTGAAAAGAAAGTGCTGCATAACTCTTACTAATCTATTTATATTTACCCTACATACAGTAACTTTTGTTTAATTTAAAGTAAATGAATAATTATGTGTATTGAATGTGCACCCAGTTAAAAGAATTATGCGGGAGTTTTGAGTATTGTAACCTCTAACCCTGAGTTTAAACTTTAAAAGTCACCCATCCATTTTTGTAAAGATGCTGAATCTGCTGCACAATATCTCACTGTGTTGTTTTTCTCCTCTTCTTGCCACTGTAGGATTTCAGCATCATGTTTACGCATCACATTGTAACCGTCATTTTGATATCCTTTTCATATGTAACCAATTTGACACGAATAGGAGCCATGACCTTATGTCTTCATGATGCAGCTGACATTTTGCTAGAGGTGAGATTGTTCATGTGTCATCAGGACCTATCTTGTACAAACAGTAAATTAGCCTTACTAAAAGAGTAATGATGCTTTTTGAAAAATCACACACTGTATGTTGGCACAGCCTTGTTCCTTAAAGGTGGCTTATTTATCTACTAGAGAAAAGCTCAAGTGTAGATGAATTCTGAGGTGGTGTAGAGCAATTGTAGCAGATCCCATGTCTCTCCTTCCATGCAGCCATCAGCATCAAGGGCGCCGTCAGGGGAAACAATGCACGGTGAGAGTTCCCTCAGGCCCAGCTAATCTCCAGCTGCTGTAATGGCCCCTGATGCAATGTCTACACAGCAATGTAAGCTTAGGGTTAGTGGGATTCAAGTCAGGTGACTTGTGTCAGGAAACCCTGGGCTTGAGCAAGTGTAACTGCCACCTGGCAGATTTGAACCTGCGACCTCTGGACCTTTATAAGAGCTTCTACTCTTTGAGTTAAAAGCCAACTGGCTCTCAGCCCATGCTAGGGAAGTGTCTTTTTCTTATCTGTTGCTGTGGTCTAGGTGCCACTGCATGGGATGGTGAACCATACTATATGTGTGGGTTACACATGCACAGTGCATTTTAACTCTAGGTTAAGGATTTTCTGATCTGGGCTTTGAACCTAGGTCTCTGAGGTCCGTGCTGCAGTGCACGAATCAGAGTCAATCTGTCAGTGTCTAGTGCCTCTCACTCCCTCTGGTGTTGACACTCAGGGTGTGTCTATAACTTCCAAAATAACTATTTTGAAATAAACTTATTCCCGAAGGAAAACAGGTGGAATTCTTTTGAAATAACCAACTCCTTATTTTGAAATAACGGGCTCAGTAGTGTGGACACTCTGCTTGTTATTTCAAAATAAAGGGGAGTTATTTCAAAATAACTCCCTAGTGTAGACCAGGGCTTGGACTAGGAATGTGATACGCTGTGTGGAAATTCTACTGCCCGCCCCATTTCCTAGCCGACGGGACACATGAGCACAGACGCTGCATAATTAGCTGCCTTAGTGGCTAGCTCAGAAGAATGATTACATTTTGAGAAGGCTTTGTACTGAATTACCATCTAATCTGAGAATTGTGTTCTCCAGCTCTAGCCTGAGTCACAGTGGCAGGAAATGTCCCTGTTCTGAGGATAATGGGCATCGGTCTCCAGAGCTGTCAGATTATTAAAATGAAACTTTGCAATTCTTATTTTTTAGACTGGGATGTGCAGTGCAGGTATTTGGCTAGTTGGCTTTTTATTTATTTTTGTCTGTTGGTTTTGAAGCTTGACGTAAAATGTAGGTTTCAAAGGGAAAACACCCCAACCAGGCTGCTGCCTGCTGCGGAACGGAGAACTGCATTGCCAGGGTTTGGAGTGCCATGTGCTCCAGCACCCCTGGGGATCCCTTATCCCTGCCCTCACTGCACTCTGCAGCGGTGTCTACACAGCAAAATTATTTCGGAATAATAGCCATTATTCTGAAATACCTTAATTTGAAATAAAATGCCTACATTGCAGGGGAGCCTCAAAATTAGTCCGAGGCAGACTTCCCTAATGTAGACATGCTACCTTGATTTACAGCCTCAGGAGAAATAACTTAGAATGGCCCAGGTGAGCGGCTATTTCGAAATAGCCGCTCACCTGGGCCATTCTAAGTTATTTCTCCTGAGGCTGTAAATCAAGGTAGCATGTCTACATTAGGGAAGTCTGCCTCGGACTAATTTTGAGGCTCCCCTGCAATGTAGGCATTTTATTTCAAATTAAGGTATTTCAGAATAACTATTCCGGAATAGCTTATTCTGAAATAACTGTGCAGTGTAGACTTACTCTGGGAGGCAGAGAGAAGGGATATCTAGGAGGCTGTGAGGAAGTTTTCAGGCTGGCTTCCACTCACCACCCTCATGTGTATGCTACCTAGGAACCCCTGGGAGGGCAGGGGGTCCAGAACAAGCACCACCCTGTGCGGTGGGGCAGTGGAGGAGCTCCAGGCTTAGCATGGCTGGGGGAAGGATGACTCCCAACATCATGGGAGCCACCTGCCAGCTTTGACTGCAGCTTGCGGGGGGGGCCGAGAGGCTGGGAAGGAGGTTGGGGCCGGGAGATGAGGGAGGCAGAGGGGCCAGGGCTGTGGCCAAGGCTGCGGTTGGGGTTCCCAGGGTTGGGTCTGGAACTCCCCTCCCTAGAGGTCAGGGTGGGGCAAGAGGCCAGGGCTGGTGCGGCCACTGGGAGGAGAGCCAGGCTTGCTTACCCCCAAACATAGGGGTTTGACGAGCATAGCAAGCAGTGGGCATCTCCCCCCTCCCCCAATATTTTAAATCCAGCCTTGTGAGTTAGAAATATTTTGGATCTACATCCATGTAGCCATGAATTCACCAGTACTGTCCTCACTTCCCTTACCTGTACTACAAAAAGCCACATTTTAAAGGGTTTGTTTCAGAACCACCAAGGCCCTGGGCACCATAAAATCTGTTCATCACCCAAATACTTGAAAGATAGATTTTTAAAAAATGCTGGTCAGCTGGTGAAAACCATAACTTAAAGGCAGATTATTTTTGCTTGACTGTACAGTCCAGTCAGTACTAATTTTTCTAAGAAAATTAAATAGAAATTACTGGAATGCTGGAATGACAGACATTAAAGGTTCAGCAAACTGTTGAGGTTGATATGCTTTTTATTTTATTTTATTTTATTTTATTTTATTTTATTTTATTTTAAGCATTGGCATTTTATTTTAAGCATAAGAGCCCAACCTAAAATATGAGGGAAGAGAGCCATGCTTAACAACAGAAAAGCATTTGTTTGAAGTGTATAACTGAATTGGTAGCATTCTTGTTTCTGGGCTTGCAGGTCATATTCCAGTTCTTTTCCAGTGACCTTAAACTGATAATCATTGCTGACTACAAAGCAGTACTAAGGGAATGGCTGTTCAGGGGAAAACAGATCTACCACAGGAAAAGCTAGTCTTGCCTTGCTGGTCAGCAAAGCATTTGCTATTTTCAACTCTGGTATTCTGTAGAGAAGAAAAGCAGTTTCCACAGACTATTTTGCTTAGGGATATGAAAGTGTGTGTATATATATACACAGTTAACTGATGAGCCCGAGCTCATCAGTTAACCTTCACTGTTAACACAGCCCTTCCCTCGACTTCCGCCCACGCTGCTGCCTCTGATACAACTCCATGGGAGTTGCCTCCCCCACCACACACACGTATAAATGTGTAACTGCTGAATTTTTCAGTGATTACATGTTTATCTAAATAAACACATTTTAACATCTCTAGTTTTGACACAACATTCTGTTTTGACTGCAAAAAAAAAAAAAAAAAATCCTGGCTTTCTGTTAGGGTTCAGGCCAGATTTTCAAAGGTATGTAGGCATCTTGTGTGATTTTGCCTGAACATCTTAAGTGCCTAGTTTGATTTCATTGGGAGTTAAGTATCGAATTTGCCAATGGGAGCTAAGTTGCCTAACTTGCTTAAGTGCTTTTGAAAATCCCACTAAATATCTGTCTGAATTTTAAGTGTCTAAATACCTTTGAAAATATGGTCATTTATTGCTTAGTTCATGAATATTGTGAAACTTTCAGTTCTAGTACACATTTGTGAAAGCACGTTTGTTAATTATTGCTCTAGCATAGATGTTGACTTTTAAGTGCATATTAAACTGTGCCCTTTTCTGTCAAATTCTGGTTGCACTGTGCATACAATGATACCTTTCAAAAAGAATAGGAGATGCACTGTGTGTCCAAGTCAAACAATTCCTTCTGTCATTTTCATGTCCAAAGGCTGGGTAAGAATTACTGCTGAGTGAAGTGTCTAATGTGTCTCAGACCTATATAACTACAACACTAATGGCATGTGAAAAGCTCTGTGATAACTCAATAATATTTTGAACATCTAAAACAAAGGCCCAATGAATGATTTCCTCTCAGAGAGACCACAGAACTGATTTGTAGAATTGTCACCCTTGAATTGTGTTGCAGAACTAAAGTCTAAAACAATACTTCTAAGAGGTGTGAACTGGCCCATTCATCTCAGTGAACTGTTATGTCTGAAGTCTAAAAATGACAGTTTAAATGTCAAAATATTAACTGCCAGTCATTTAGCAGAGACATCTCACAAATGTCTATCTCATGATCCCAAATTATCTGTCACCTCACCACAGAGCCAAAATCCCCAGCTAACATGTACTCAGCTACCAGAAGCTCTGACACCTCAACACAGTGAAATGTCTGTGCAAATTCTTTGGCATATGAAAGCCCAGAAAGGTTGGATAATATGAAATACATTTAATTAAATATCACAGTAAATCAGGAAAGGCTCACTGCACCGATTCTATTGTTTATTTTCAGACTATTAATTTTAAAACTGTTTTGTTTTGTTTTTTAATTGAAATGAAGCTTCCATCGCATCTCTGTGCTACTGCATTAGCATGAGCAGAAAACAGAACTGTTTCCCATATAAAACATGAGGCTCTATCTGTAGAAACTTATTAATAACAACCCTTTACACTTCTTTCATCTGAGAATCAGTAAAATGCTTTATAACCATGAAAGACAAATTTTTAAAATCTGGCCCCCTAAGGCATGCTCACTGGTAGAGTTGAAGGTTGGTGGACAGCTTGCTACCTGATTGATAGGAACTTGATACGTTACATAGATGTCTGTAACCTCTTATTTATACTCACAAAATTGAACCTCCAAAAAAACCAGCCACCCCTAGGGATTTTTTAAATCACACAGCAGAGGGGCTATATATGAAATTCAGTCAAAACTAGGGTAAAAAACAGCAGCTGTTTTACAAATTTTAGGACAGCAAGTGAAGGAGAATATTTATACACTATATTGAAGCTGCAGGGGGAATTCAGGAGAGTATAATTACCTGAATAGTACCAACTCTTACAGAAAGTGTCATGGGATTGTTAATGACCACAAGTGCCCAGGGCCTTAGTTTTACGTGACTGACTTCCAAAAGCAAGTGCCTGGAGCAGCGTACGTGTTTTCCACACTTTGTGTTGCTCATTACTAACTCAAATGGACAAATTCCATCAAACAAATCACCCTCACCACTTTCTACAGCTATTTCATCCAAGTACTGAGTCAGCTCGCCCCTGCTTAATTTGAAATCTGGCATGATCTCAGCAAAAGGCTGTACAGCAATATAAACACAAAAGGACACAACCAATTCTGCTCTAGATGGTTTTGGAAATTTGGCCCTTTTTCTAGTTGGATTTTTAGTCTAAAAATCATTGAATTGTAACTATAACTCTGCTTTATAGACTGATATCTGAAGTGGTAACATTCTATTTATCTGAATCTCAGCTGTGAAATATCAGTTTGAATAGCAGATGTGAATGATTTTATAGATCTCTTTAGGTAGCATTGAAGTCTTATTTTAGTCTATTTGAGTAGAGCTGGGGGCTTTTTCAGTATTCCTTCAGCTTCCTAGTTTTCAAGCTAGCAAATCACCTTTAAATTCTATATACAATGGAAAAAACACTGAAATTATGCAAACACCAGACTATTCAGGTGTCAGTCACCTCAGAATTTGAACTCCAGTGTTAAATGTGATCATTCCATACTTTTTCAGTTCAGTGTCAGAATGCTAACATGATCACATATATTGCAGCAGTGCTGTATTTCTCACCCTTTCAAGAAGTTATCTGAGTGTATTCCTGCATTCTGTGCAGAATTTTAAGTCCATACATGTGGGAGTTTTTCTCATTGTTATTGCTATGTTAATGAGCCTGGGCCTTCTGCATATTTAGAAGTGTAGGAATCTGATGCAGTGCCATAGAAGCCAATGAAGAGTCTCCTGCTGATTACAGTGGGCACTGATTCAGGCTTTTATACTTTGAGAGGGCATCAATATGTGCAGTGCGAAGTGTAGAGGAAGAGACTGTCTCATCTTCCAGAAGCATGAGCTCTAAAATAGACAGCTTTGTTCAGCTACATCAACAATCTCAAAACAATGTGGAAATCTTTGCTAAACTATCAAGCGATTTAAAAAAATGTGATTAATCATTTAATGTTTTAAAAATTCAGTTTTTTGCACTGTTAAATAATAATTGAATGACATTTATTTAAATATTTAAATTTAAATGCAATTTTATTTAAATATTTTTGCATGTTTTCTATATTTTCAAATATATTAATTTCAATTACAACACAGAATACAAAGTATACAGTGCTCACTTTGTATTTATTTTTGGTTATAAATACTTGCACTGTAAAAAAAAAAAAAAAAAAAAAAAAAAAAAAATTGTATTTTTCAGTTCACCTAACACAATTACTGTAACATGAATTACTTTAACATGAAAGTTAAACTTACAAATGTAGATATGTCAAAGAACTTTAAGACAATGTGAAACTTTAGGCTAACATTCAGTCCTACTTTTTGTTCAGCCAGTCACTCAAACAAGTTTTATTACAAATTGTAGGAGATAATGCCTTCTGTTTCTTCTTTACAATGTTGCCTGAAAGTGAAAATCAGCATTAGCATGGCACTGTTGTAGCCAGAGTCATGAGATAATTTATGTGCCAGATGCACTAAAGATTTGTGTGTCCCTTCAACTGTCATTCTAGAGGACATGCATCCATATTAATGATTGGTTCTGCTAAATAACGATCCATAGCAGAATGGACTAATATATGTTCATTTTCATCATCTGAGACAGATTCCACCAGCAGAAGGTTGATTTTCTTTTTTTTGGTGGTTCAAGTTTTTGCATCAGAGTGCTTACTCTCAAGACTTCTGAAAGAATGCTCCACACCTTGCCCCTTTCAGATTTTGGAAGGCACTTCAGATTCTTATACCTTGGATTGAGCGCTGCAGCTATTTATAGAAATCTTACATTGGTACCTTCTTTGTATTTTCTCAAACTTGCTGTGAAAGTGATCTTAAAATGAACATGTGCTGGGTTATCATCTGAGACTACTATAATATTAAATATATGTCAGAGTAGGGGTAAAACAGAGCAAGAGATGTACCATTCTCCCCCAAGGAGTTGTCACAAATTTAATTAACACATTTCTTTTTTAATTAGCATCATCATGGTCATGGAAGCATGTCCTCTGGAATGGTGACGAAAGCATGTAGAGGCATATAAATGTCGAGTACATCCAGCACATAAATACTTTTCAATGCTGGCTACGAAAGTGCCATGTGAACACCTGTTCTCACTGTCAAATGACATTGTAAATAAGCAGTCTGCATTATTCCCATAAATATAAACAAACTTATTTGTCTTAGCAATTAGCTGAACAAGAGGTAGGAATTGTAGGATCTAAAGTTTTACATTGTCTTGTAACTGCACTCAAAAACAAAACAAACAGAATCTACATTTATAAGTTATACTTTCACTGTAAAGAGATTCCACCACAGGACTTGTATGAGGTGAACTGAAAAACACTACTTTCTTTATCATTTGTACAGTGCAAATATTATAATAAATAATAAAAATTAATCACTGTGCATTTTGTAGTCTATATTGTAATTGAACTTCAGGGAAGAAAAGTATTTTAAAGAGGATTGTGGATCGAGAAGTGGTTGCTTGGTACAAGGAGGGATTCCAGGAGAGCCAGCATGAAAGAATGCCCAGAAATAAGTGGGAGATGCAGGCAAAAGGTGTGGATGGGGCAGCAAGCAGCAGGAGAGACGTATGAATGCTCAGGTTAAAGCAGAAGTGGAGAACTACAGGGCTTTGATAGGGAAAACAAAAAGCTGAACTCTGATGTAGAGGGCAAAAGGAAGCCAATGGGGGATATTTGAAGGGATGCGCTCTGAGTATTGGATGATTACTTTTAGCAGCAGTGCTTTCTGTGGATAGGAGGAGAGCACTGATTGATGCAGAAGATGGAAGGAAGTGCAGCAATCAAGTTTTGGTGCAGGAGCTATCTGAAGTACAAATATATCAAAGGATACGTCAACACTGCAGGACTTAACTCAAAATAAGCTACGCAAAATTGAGCTACATCAATTGCATAGCTTATTTCAAAATAGTTTATTTCAAAATTGAGAGCATTTACACAGCACTTACTTCAAAATAGAGCACTCTTCCTCCAACTTCCCTTACTCCTCATACAATGAGGGTTACAGGAGTTGAAGTAAGAAGTCCTCCAGCTTGACAGTATTTTGAAATAACTACCTGCTGTGGAGACGCGGACTAAGTTATTTTGAAATAACGCCAGTTATTCCAAAATAATGTTGCGGTGTAGATGTACCCTAAGAGAATACAGTCATGAACGCGGAGAATGAGGAACAGAAGGAACAGGAAGGAGTGCTAGCTTAGTCAAAAGTCGCAAAGAGTTCCAGGTGGAGGAGTACAAAGAACAGGTCCTCATGTGTGGCCAGGAGAAGGTTATGAGTACCTTCAAAGTAGTCTCTGGGTAATGGAGGGGGCAAAAGCCAGAAGACTGAGGATTCAAGAGAGAGCTAGAAATGAAGAAATGGAGGCTGTGTTTATGGACAGTAGGCCCCAGGAGGTTGGAAACCACAGGAGAAGGAAGGAGATGGGCAGTAGCTAAAGAAGAACGTGCAGTCATGGGCAGTGGGGAGAGGGAAAACAGTAGTGTATTTGAAAACTAAGAGAAAGGAGAAGAGGGAGATGCTAGAGGATGTTTCTAATGCCATGTTTAGAAATGATCTCCAAGAGTTTGAAACTGGAGTGATCGGGAGAAACAATTGGTTGGAATAGGGTAGAGGTAACAGGTAACTCTTGATGGATTTTTGTTTTGAAAATCTAACAATTCAGTGGTAGAGAGGAAGTGAGGTCACTCATTAGCAAAACAATGTGAATCTTGTTGTATTTGATCAAAATGTGGCTTATGTACATTTTAATTGCTCATCACAGCTCAGGCAGAGCGTAAGACTTTTGCAGTTGTCAACATAACTGGAGTAAACTCTCTCCATCCCTCTCTTTTGCAGGCTGCCAAAATGGCAAACTATTGCAAGTGTCAAAAACTGAGTGACCTCCTGTTCCTTATGTTTGCCATTGTCTTCATCGTCACTAGGCTTGGCATATATCCTTTGTGGTGAGTACACCTGCCCCTTTCCTCAGGTACTTAGCTCTCGACTAGTTTGAAATAAATGCATTACAGTAGAGTGCCAGCTGTATGCACTGGCCTGTGTCTGACAAGCATTAAAGAAAGGTTGCAGAGGTAACTAGATGACCTTACTAGGGTATGTCTACACTACCCCGCTAGTTCGAACTAGAAGGGTAATGTAGGCATACCGCACTTGCAAATGAAGCCCGGGATTTGAATTTCCCGGGCTTCATTTGCATAAACTGGGCGCCGCCATTTTTAAATCCCTGCTCGTTCGAACCCCGTGCCGCGCGGCTACACGCGGCACGAACTAGGTAGTTCGGACTAGGCTTCCTAGTCCGAACTACCGTTACTCCTTGTGGAATGAGGAGTAACGGCCGCGTGTAGCCGCGCGGCACGGGGTTCGAACGAGCAGGGATTTAAAAATGGCGGCGCCCAGTTTATGCAAATGAAGCCCGGGAAATTCAAATCCCGGGCTTCATTTGCAAGTGCGGTATGCCTACATTACCCCGCTAGTTCGAACTAGTGGGGTAGTGTAGACATACCCCTAGAGAAGATCCTAGTAGGTTACTGCTATAGAGTGTCAGGGCAGTCCACACAGGCTAGATAGTAAAAGTTAGGGAGCAGGGCCTGAACTGGTTTTAAAGCAGAAGTGGGCTGGAGACAGCCAGATACAGGTAAGTGTGTGGAGACCAACAGGTGACTTGGGCGCTAGTTAATTTTCAGCACATGCTTTACCACTTTCTTTGTCTGAAGGAAAACACAGAAAACCAATGGCATAGGAGTCTGCCTGATAACAGAGCGGCTGCCATCCAGGATTGTAAAGCTTCATGCCTTTTTCTCCTAAAGCAACTGGGAATGAGTGTGCTGTGGAAGCAGCATATGTGCTCTTTGGGGAAGGAATCCTTTCACTTCTGAAAACACTGTGTCTAATTTGGAAGTAGCACAGCTGTTTCCCAAGGGAGAGTCCTTTCCAGTGTGTTTTAAAGCTGCAGTATGAAATGCTATCTCAGTCGTGCACATGAAAGGAGCAGTCCCATTATAAAGTGAGCATCTTGCCCAGGGGAGGAGTTGGTGAGAGAGTTCCCACACCACCTCAGTTCATTCATGACCCCAAACTCTTGATTAGTGATCAAAAGACCAGAACTAACCCTGTCAGGCAGCACACTTTAGGGATGCAGTGAAATAACACTTCTGTCCATTGTGTTTGGAGAGCACAGTTAATACCAGGATGCAACGGTAAGCAGAATTCTTAGTAACCCTGCAGAGAACAACCAACACAAATGTCATTACTAGTTGACATACACAAATACCAATCCTGCTGTCACCCCAGATCCTTTTCCAGTCCAGTAAAATGAGATCTTTGGGGGCTTGTTAATATGAAGGCAGGATAAAGGCAAGTTACCTTTTGTGAGTCATCTCAGCAGCTGTGAAATGCAGAAGACTCCATTAGTACTCAGAGAGTCCAGAGGTGCTATGCTGATCTCTGTGCTTTGAGCCAGAGACTCCCCATGAATTCAGTAACCTCAGAGATTTTAAAAAACAAACTCAACAGAAACCCAAATCCTGGGTTGAAGCTTTCAGTGTTTTTTGAGGATGGGATTGGTCTGTTTTTTTAAGATGATCTTTTTCCCCCTTTCCCATCAAGGTTTCTTAGTCACACGTTACATTTTACTAGGATGGAGCACACAGATTCCTCCCACCTGCATGCTACCAAGTATACAGCAGAGCCAGCATTTTCCATATGGTTTCATCCTCCCATGTATTTGTTTAAATGGGAGAAACGGTAAAGACCAAATTTGGCCAAAAGAGATACACCAGATGACTGACTAAATAGTCATGATATGGTTTGTCCATGATATGGTTCAGTTTGAACACAGAATAGGTCTCTGCAGACAAATTCAAGAAGAATTGGTCCATCAATGGCCCTTAGCCAGGTTGGGCAGGAATGGTGTCCTTAGCCTCTGTTTGCCAGAAATTGGGAATGGGCAACAAGAGGGATCACTTGATGATTTCCTGTTTTGTTCATTCCCTGTGGGGCACCTGGCATTGGCCAATGTCAAAAGAGAGGATATGAGGCTAGATGGACCTTTGTTCTGATCCAGTATGGCCTTTCTTATGTTCTTATTATCTGTACTGCTCCAAATGGAAATTGAATGCATTTTCCTCTGTGTGATTTGCCTATAATGCTATTAAAAGAATAACATGTTTACACTCCTTGAGTAGATAGCTGCCTAATTTGTTTAGCCCTCACCTTAAGTCTTTAATAATATTTTAAACCTTGCTCTGAGATATTTGAAAAGCCAAGAGGAGAATGCCAGCTTGAGATGTAGGTCTGCCATGTTTTTCAAGGACAAAGGGAAAACACAAGCCACAGATGACTATCTGTAATGCTTTTTAAATCCAAACATTTACAAAGCCCTGCTTGTGCTTGCTTTGGGTGAGATGAAGACTGATTTCACCCAAAACTCTTTTCCAAATATTCACCAAATTCACTGGAGTTAATTAGTTTTTTCTCAAGGGAAAGTGGCTATTCAGAAAATGTCTTTCTCAAGGCATGTGAAAATAAGAAGGGTCCAGTTCTGCCTGTCCTTTACCCCCATGCTATGTCACTTGTAACCGGGTCCATTGCTCAGGGATCCTGGGGCGCCCCCAGTTCACAAGCCCGAGCCGCGCTGGGTCCTGGGCTGCCCCTGCTCCCGGCCTCTATCTCACCGCTCCCACGGTCCTCTCCTCTTGGTCGGCTCACGCCGAGCTCGCGGCTCCTGCCGTCCCTGGGATCACCGGCCTCCCGGCCTCCGACCGTCTGTCCGGCGTCTGCTGCCGGCCCCGGCCCGCGCCGGCCCGTCCCCCCGGCCCCCGGTCCCGGC